GTACATGTTGACAATGAGGTTTGAAATAATTTGCAAGATGATTTATGTCATACTAACAATTAGTTTATAAAATTCGGTTAAAATTATTTCCTAGTCCAAAGGTGCACTTTTTACACAGATAAGATAAGGTTGCCTTTGCGTAGAGGAAAGTTTATGCACGCCTGCCAAATGGTTAGATAAACAATACGATAGTCCTTTTTCATGCGTTTGGTTTCTATGTCCTTTGTTTTGGTGTTGCGAGTAATTTTGAATGGGATATCTACGGATACCCGCCCTGCGACATACATTTTGCATGAAGGTATACCAAAGCACGAATCACTTCAAGGTTAACGTTTTTCCTAGCGGTGCAATTCAACGTGATATACCTCGTATCTTTGTCTCAACTTTGTTCGAATTTGTGCGGTAACAGTAATTCTTTGGTCCGAGATAAATGTACATGTGGTGATATAGTCTTCTTAACTCATCCGTCAGTTCGCCGAGGTACGGACCTGTAGGGGGCTATGGATCACCAGGTTTACTAACGAAGATCACCGAATCAGTGTCGTAATACAACGCTCTTTCTTGAAGTTGATCCAGAACATCGTAGAGTTTGAGGCGAGCGTAAGCTGTGGTGAAAGCAGTAATGACCACGTTCGTTTAAGAGTTTGGCGCAGTGAGATTCTCATTGAAATCACTCACGAAATTACGTTGAGAACATTGATTTCATCTGAAGTTAAATAGACAAAGTAAACTTGTGGGTCTTTGATCAATTCCACTTTGGTCATAATTATACAAATATAAAAATATCAATCACGTGTACTTAATTTGTTCACTTATCTCTTGTTTCATAATGATATTTTTGTACATGACGTCAAAACCTGGCAATACGTGAGATAATAATACCTTGTCACTTACGTGCACTAGCTCACCGGCTGATAATATTTTCATATTGTGTTCAACTCCATTCAATAATTGTTAAATATTATGCTAGCCTCATCGAGTAATTGTATAAAATATTATAGGAGAAATTTAACCTTGAAATAACTATTGGAATAAATTGTCCAAAATAAAGGCGTGTGCATGTGAATCTGGAATTCCCATTAGAATTTACATAAAGAACGTGTCATATATTAAGGTAATGTTTCGCGAATATTTTACTCAATTTAAAAGAAAACATTTGCTAAAAAAGGATTTGGTGAGATCCTGAGGGGAATTCCCCTGTCTCCCGGTTCTCCCATTCCAATGTTCCCTGTTCCCCTGAAAAAGTCTTGTTCTGCCCTACTTCGATTGCTGCTCGCCCTTTTGGATACTTGTGGCAAGCTGCTCAGAGATTTCAATTTAGTTGCAAAAAGTTCAGTTTCGTGCAGCGAGGGTTTTAAGTCAGTATTAATGTACAAGATACTTAATTACCATACTGCGCCGGCTCTTCGGGAGTCTTTCATGAGAAGAGAAATAGACTCCCAAGGCCGAATCGAGAATACCTCAATAAAGTTTCAAATATAGCCGCGCTATGCTTTGGAATCGGCTCACAAACGAAGCAAAATCAGCTGAGTCGCTCGTTTGTTTAAATCAATTGTTGTTGGACACTGAAATGAGTCCTACTTACCTGTGTGTGAAACTGTCTGAGTGTAATTGTTATACTGTATTCTTATTACTGTCTTAATATTTAAACACGCCCCTCATGGAAACCAGCCTAGAGTTGATGGGGCTAGCATGTTTCTTGGTTTTTAAATAAAGTTTTACCTACCTAACTACCTATCCACCTACCCTGTCCCCGTGTTCATTCGTGCTGATGATTTTTTAACTCGTGTTCACTCGTGTTCATATTTCTTGACACGTGTTCTGACTCGTGTTCACTGGTGTTCATTCGTGTTCACTCGTGTTCTGACTCGTGTGGTGTTTCAGGACAGATCATGGCAAGAATCGAACCTACGCTTTTGCGATGCCGGTGCAATGCTCTTGCCACTGAGAACGTATGGTTGACTCATTTTTCCATCCACTGTTCCTGGCTTGAATTTGAATTGTGTATAATAGCACTCGAAATTAAGACCCTTTCAACCTTTTGTTCCTTGATGATACAATCGCGTTCTTCCAAAAGCTCCGTTTTAACCGTGTACTTAAGCCTAGACGGCTTGGTAAAAGAGACAATAAAACCTGACACGAGTGGGTCATTTTGGTATTAGTTTCTTTTTCCAACGAGATAGCTGGTTCAGGATACTTAGAACTATCATCGTCGTCGTCATCATCATCTCTGCCTTTGTTTTCCTTCACATCTTCACATCTTCACATCGTTTAAAAGCCTTTTAATAAGAAACTTTCTTTTATCAACGGCAGCTTCTATTGCTTCTTCTTGGTCAAAATCATCATTTGTAATCAACGCATCTTTTGTGTGCATTATTTTCTTAGGTACCGGATCTTTCTTTAGTTGTCTCATCCACAAAAGGCGCTCTAAATAGATATTTTCTAATTCTTTCTGGAGTCTAGGCATGGCATTGAAGTAAGCTTTCTTTTTAGCAGAGTGCTCAACGAAACCACTGTTTATAAGGCTTTCTTTCATTTCCTCGAATGCTGTGTTACTTCTATGTTATGCTTCTTCTATTAACGGTATCCAGGGATCCATTTCTTCTTCACATTCTGAGTCCGTTGTCGTCGAACTTCCAGATTGCTGAGTGGAAGTGGTCGAGACATCATCTTGGAAATCACTTTCTTGACTGTCCGAGTCTGTTTGAGCCATTTTTCTTCCTTGTTCTCGTAGTAGTCAATACTCCCGTTCTTGTCTGCGCTGATTGTAACTGCGGCTGAAATATCTTCCACAAAATTGGCAGCTCATCGCCTTAGCACTACAAGTGTGTAAATGCCTTGTTATCGAGCAGCAACGCAGTTTTATGACCAGATGTCTGCTCATGTGTAGTTATGAGCATGTGCTCATCTGCTCAACGGTACTTTTTCTTACTCCAGTACATGCACACAAACTAAAATGTTAGCCATCCCTTATGTACTTTCTTCGTTTCCCCCGAGATAGAGGCTCTTGGTTTCAGTGCTTAAATAAACATTAAAGTTTCTCTCTATGTCTTCTTGGCGCTCGAATAAATTTTCCAGATGCTCCTCCATATCGAATTCCTTTGGTTCTTTACACTGTCGAGGTACACATATTCCTTTCTTACTCCACTTTAACCATCTCTTGCGTTCCTCTGTGCCCATGCCGTGTACTTGGTCGACGATTGCTAACCTTCCTAAATTTGTACTACCACAGGTAAACACAGGACAGTTCCTACGCATGCGACCCATATTTAGAAGATTGCTCAACAAATTCCTAATAATAATTGGCTCGTTTTTTCGTTGGTCAGGTATTTTATTAGCCCGTTTGGTCCCTATATGGCCTTATATGGCACTATTAGGCCCGATGGCCCGATTGCTGCATGACTAAGCGTCCTAACCCGGACAAGTCCGGGCTTGTCAACGCAAACTCTTGCTTACGCAAGACAAAGTCAAACCATCTAGACAAGAAAACAATGTAGTGCCCGGACAATATGTTTAAAATATTTGTAAAATTGTTATACTTAATTACATTGTTACAAGCGTTAATCCGTGTCTTAATTTATGCTCCAAGCATCGCGTTGTCCATAACACTAACATATATTTCGCTCTAAAAATGCACACATTTTCGCATTCGCCAAACCCCCTTTTTCCTCCCTTTGAGGAGTTTGGGCCTGAAATATCTCTTTGAGCGGATGAGCCTCTGCTCATGAGCAATCATGAGCATGTGCTCATAGGCTCGTTTGGGCCTTATATGGCCTTATATGACACTATTAAGCCCGATGGCCCGATTGCTGACTGCATGGGCATCCTAACCCCCGAATATTACGACAACGACGACAACGGACTCAGAATGTGAAGAAGAAATGGATCCCTGGATACCGTTAATAGAAGAAGCATGACAAAGAAGTAACCCAGCTTTCGAGGAAATGAAAGAAAGCCTTATAAACAGTGGTTTCGATGAGCACTCTTCTAAAAAGAAAGCTTACTTCAATGCGATGCCTAGACTCCAGAAAGAATTAGAAAATATCTATTTAGAGCGCCTTTTGTGGATGAGACAACTAAAGAAAGATCCGGTACATAAGAAAATAATGCACACAAAAGATGCGTTTACTACAAATGATGATTTTGACCAATAAGAAGCAATAGAAGCTGCCGTTGATAAAAGAAAGTTTCTTATTAAGAAGCTTTTAAACGATGTGAAGATGTGAAGGAAAACAAAGGCAGAGATGATGATGACGACGACGGTGATATGTTCTAAGTATCCTAAACCAGCTATCTCGTTGGAAAAAGAAACTCATACCAAAATGACCCACTCGTGTCAAGTTTTATTGTCTCCGTTACCAAGCCGTCTACCATTAAGTACGCTGTTAAAACGACAAGAGAACAGTTTAAAAGTCACGAGAACAGTCATCTCAAAGCGTACAAAGAATATTTAAAAAAGCAACTTTTAAAATGAAAATGCCTCATGGTATTAAAAGAAATATTTTCAATGTTGTAACATGTGTAATTTGAGTAATAAAATATTTTCCTCGCAAATCCTTAGTGTGTATTTATAATTATGTATAGCGTGGGCCCTCAGCCCTCCCACGCAAGTCATTCCACGTGTACACAGCAAAAAGTCGCTTTCTTATTTTGAGAAAAAAAAACTCATTTCAAGATATTTTATCTTGAAATGAGAAAAATTTTCATGGGAGAATAGCAAGAAATAATTTCTCGCTAAGAAAACATATCAAGAAAATATTTTCTTGTTCTAAGAAAAAAATGTTTTCTTAAAACAAGAAATTTTGGAGAAAAATAATCTTAAAACAAGAAATATAGTAACTATTTTTTAAGAAAAATTAACTTAATTTGAGAAATATTTACTTATATTAAGAAAAATATTCTTGTTTTAAGAAAGTGGGAGAATAGCAAGAAATATTTTCTCAGCAAGAATTTTTTTCAGAATGAGAAAATTTTTCTCAAAACCTATTTTCTTGTTTTAAGAAAACATCTTTCATAAGAAATTATAATGTCTAAGTTAGATAAAATTACACCTGAAATAAGAAAATACTTTTTACATATAAGAAAAAAAATTTATTTCAAGAAAAACATCCTTGTTTTGAGAATAAATAACTTCAAATGAGACAATTTTGACCATTAAAAATAGCTGAAAATCCTATTAATATATGCTTTTATAATATGAGTAATAATATACATCAATAATTTACTTAACAAAAGTTCAACATACTTCTTTATATGACATTAACATGCTTATACAAGCTAAACTGATGTCCTGTGGCACTTGAGAGTCTTTGAAAATTATAACTTGCAGGACTGGCAATTCTATTTCATGATGTTTTGGATAGTCAATGTCCAACAAATAGAATGAAGCCAGGAAGGCAACAACTGCATCAGCTATCTTTTCAACTACTGCCCATATCAAAATATGTTTTTCAATAACAATGTAAATACCTTCCTGGTCAATCAGGATGATTGGAAGATTTCGAACTAATTTTCCCCAAAATGCTTTGGATCTTCACTGTCGACCTATATATAAAGTACAAACAAAATGAATGCTCATATTAACAATTTAAGTTCACATTATAAATTATGCCTGAAAGCCATTTGTGAGTATTTATACAAGTTATATTGCTTAATACCTCTGTATAGATTTACATGCAGTTAATTCATGGACTAACTAATTACCCTAAATTTTGAGGACTTTTGTCAGGAAATATCACAGAAATCTTCTTTAGGAGATGTATCATGTTACGACAAGCCTTCTGGATGTTTGGGAGATGGTTATGCTATTGATATTATTGTGATTTGTGACAAATAGAATTTTAATTTATATAATTTCAAAACTTGCAACATATCTAACAACAATCTAACTGGCAAAAATCTGGCAACATATAGGTTGATTGCAATGTAGGCCATAATCATATAGTTTGTCAAATACCATGCAACAAGAGAAAAAGTATTTCTTTATAATGCATTAAAAATCAGGGCAATAAAAAATAATTAATGTTTTAGTTAACATTACAATGGTAAAAAACATGCATCTTAAAAATAGTCTTACTTTCAAAGGCTTGTTTTCATTTCCATTTCCAGTAAAATAGAGTATATCTATATCTTTCTTCATCTTCTACAATGCCAGTTCCTATAAAAAATTGAAATATTTACCAGGGTGTACCACTTTTCAATTGCAATATGTGTGGGAGAGAAGAGTCTAGATACCAGACCCCAGGTCACACAGCACAAATATCTGATAAATTATAAACGTTTACATGTAACAGCATCTGAGTATAAAAACACAAATAACAACATACTAAAATACGATTAAGCTAATTATAAGTCAGTCTTAAGCGTGCGATATTTACTATTCGTAAAATGATAATCATTTTACTAGTAGCAGAATTTTGAGTTTAGTTCGTAACGAATTTAATAGAGTACGTTCGGTTAAATACTATTAAATTGTAGCAATACTCAACAAAATTAATACCTTCCAATATCTGCTCGCATTCTTTGACCACTCTAGCGATTTGTTCGAGCAAACTTGTCGTTTCTTGATCCATATTAAACGTATGAATTGAAAAAAATCGATAAAATATCGGCGATCAGTGAAGACACGTTACACAACAGCGACGAAAATTTGAAAAGGACGCGCTTCTTTCCCACAATGCCTTTAGCGCTCTCTCGTTGATCGCGTGATCACGCGCGATATGTCGCGCAAACGACGTTATGTTGCAATCCATGCTCCTTTACATGATAATTAAAATTTAAAATATCAATCTTTGACTTTTGCATTGTAAATCTTACTTTTAGTATATCAAATATTATTGTACATGGGTAGCGAATTAAGGTGGTGTTTTTAGTTCAATAACCAAGCACACCTATTGAAAGGCTAAATGTGACACATTTCTCTCATGATGAAATTTGTTTCTAAAGAGCTTCTATATTGTAAAAATTGTTTGTACATAAGACTTAGCTAAATATAATCTATGAAGGGAGGCGGACATTCGTTCATGGTAAATAACAATAATTCTATTGTATATATATTTTTTTACTATACCCCATTAAGTTCTGGTTTTCTTATTATCTTCTTATTCCAAGAAATTATTTTCTTGAAACGAGACTCAGATATAAGGCAAGCTTTCCTATTTTAAGAAATATTTGGGATATTACTCAAGATTAATTTTCTCATATTAAGAATTTCAGAAGTTAAGATAATCTTTCTCATTCCAAGAAATTATTTTCTTGAAACGAGATTCAGATAAGGCAAGCTTTCCTATTTTAAGAAATATTTGGGATATTACTTAAGATTAATTTTCTCATATTGAGAATTTCAGAAGTTAAGATAATCTTTCTTATATCAAGAAATCATTTTCTCAGTATAAGAAAAAAATTTCTAATTCATAAGAATATAATTTCTTGTCTTAAAATCTGTAAATCTGTGGCTTGACGACTTTCTTATTTTAAGAAATTACTTTCTAAACGAGATTTTATATCCTAGAGTTAGAAAAAAAATTCTCGGTTTAAGAAAAATTTTCTTTACATAAGAAAAAAATTCTTAAGATAAGATATATTTTCTCGATAAGAAAATGATTTTTTGCTGTGTATAAGCTATATTGGAATAACACACTTCTGCGCACATCACCTCGCGTGGAGGCCGCACTCACAACTTTTTCGTAGAGTTTGCGATATATATACATATATATATATATATAATATATAATATATATATATATAATATAATATATATATATAATATATATATATATATATATAATATTATATATATATATATATATAATAATAAATATATATATATATATAATATATATATATATATATATATATATATATATAATATATATATATAATATATATTAATATAATATATGGTTTGTGGATTCGGTATTATTAAGGTGGTTTTTCACTATATTGGTGGAGGTGGAAATCTTCGATGGAATGGAATATTTCGCTCAATTTTCTTTTCAATTGTAAAATAAAACCGAAGCAGATTCCCTCGACATATCACAATTGAAAAGAAAACCAAGCGAAAAATTTCAACTTCAAAATGGAGTTATGTTAAGAAGTCGAGTTCGATTCGCGAATCGTCTGACTATTTAGGAGGTCAAGGTCTCGTTGAAGAACAGTTGAAGCAACAAGACAGATCCATCCTCTTCGATGTCTACACAAAAGTAAGTTATCTTAAGGCATTGATTTATTAGTAGAAATTAGTGCATTAGAATATTAGGGTATTAGAAACAGTATAAATCAGTATGTGTCAAGTATAACGGAACAAAACCGGATGCATAAATTTGTGCCCCATACAAACCACGTGTTCTTCCTTATTTGTTTTCATACTAACCTTCCTGACAAATCCCCTTGGGTCAAAACGTCAAGAAGTGTTCTTTTGTCTATTTAGGCAGTTGTTGTACCACATTTGATGTATAAATATGTGTTTAATGCAAAAAGTTTCATTACCTGACTTTTTTTCAGGATCATCAGTGATAGCTTCTACCATTTCATTCTTACTTTTTTTCACCCCGGAAATAACCTTTTTCTTTTGAACTAGGTTGAGCAACTTTGCCTAGATTTCAGTTTCGAACGTTTTGACCATTTTTTTTTGTTCCAGTCATCCCCATTATCCTGTGAAACTCTGCTTTCAGCTGAAGTAAAAACAAGAATATCTACATCATATATTTCAACCACTTGCAACAAAAATCGGAGCTTGAATGCTACATATAGAGGTAACAAGCGGTGAATAACATAGTTGGTTATAGGGTTTTTAGACTAGGCAAAAACACTCCAATGGAATTTTTACCTTTGGGTATAAGCATCACCAACCATGCTACCACAATGATGCTAAAGACGGGCGTCGTGCACACAATTTCTGTGTGGCAAAGATCCGAAATTTAAAATGAGAAAACTGAAGATAGCTATTAGTAGTTTACCTCGGACACAAGTGTCAGTGCCGGATACTCTTCCAAGACGTTCTCAAGAGTTTTAGGCGTACGAAGGATTTCGTGCCTCCTGGAAGGGAAAGTGACCTCCATTAATTCTTTACTCAGGTCTACGTTTTTGTTTCGACTATTGCCAATTTCCTTCTTTATCGCTACCACATGTTCCCTGCAGGTTTCTGCCGTCTCGCCTTCAGTTGCTTCCGACAACACCGACAGTTTAGACGACCCGGCCATTCGTTTGGAGTCACTTTCCTATTTGAATTAAGTGAGCAAGTGTGAATGTGAGTGATGCTAAAACCGAAGTATAGTGAAATTCCACTTAGGATAAAAAAGAAGGAAAACAAGATAACGGTTCGAACAAGAGCTCACGGAACATGGCGATTTTATGTAAGTGCATTACGTATAAAGGGTAAATACCCCTTGGATTGTCACAGTACTCCTACGTCTCTTCTTTCTTCGTTGGTTTTTAAATCTATTTTTGTTTGCTTGTTCCCATGAAGCCTGCAATAAAATCATTTTAATATATATATAATAGGTCATTTGGCATCTTCCGTTGAAGAGTCATGTCTTTTTATACTGTATACTATACAAAAATACGCGACGGTTTTGAAGGAGGGTATGTAGAGGATTTATTCAGGCCTGTGAGCATTACGAAATGACCTAGGGTGCTAACTAACTAGCGTATTATACGTACATGAGATAGGCTTGTAAACTTACTGTTCCAGAAACAAGTTTGTCTGCTAAAAACGGATATTTTTATATGATTAGAAACGCTACGTGTTCACGTTCCGTTTTCTTAGGATTCGTCGTATGAATCTGAATGGTGGAGCAGACATCACGATTAAACTAATCGCGCAGATTACCAATGAGTTCCTGTTTCTCCAAGGCGGCAGTAACGGATGGGGGAAACTGTAAAGGTATATATACTCTGTGTCTCCATTTTCAATAGTCACTAATGAATAAAATCAGGTCTTATATAGATCCTTTTCAAAGGGGTGTTTTAATGGTCTGTGAACATCGTCTGCTGACAGACACCTTACGTTTGGCCTTTACGACAAACGTATGAAAAGTGTAAAGTTTTAATCCCTTTGTTTGATTAGATATATATAATTAGATGTATTATATGAATATATTTAATATATATATAGTTTGTAAGAAACCAACCATTTGTCATCATTTGCATGTTATACATATAAAATACGAGGTCATATACGCCCCAAACTACCAGTGGCAGCTCTTGGGTACCTACGTTCGACCCGGGAAGATAGTTCCAGCCTACGTTGCCTGTGTACCTCTGAACCTGCTTAAGCGTTTTTACATGTCTAAAACGTACACTATACGCAGCAAAACGTAGCCAAACCAAGGCGATACCTGAGGACAAGCTAGGTCCAAAACTATAAAATATGAATAGAATACCATTGAGTGGGGATGTTTCACTTGTTCCATCGGTGTAAAATCTACTATCTCTTCAATAGGAGCGACCATATCATCAGGCAAAGACTCTACCTTCATTGCTACTGGGAATTCCGTTTGCTGTTTGTTTGATACCTCCTGGTCAACTTCGTCCGTGATGGCTTGCCTTATTCGAACAATTTGTCCCACCTTTATATTTATATAAATCCTAAAAGGGGATCTGTCGATGACTTAAGCAAGTTCACCGTCAACAACTACGTACAACATTGAAATGTAGTATATATAGTATATATATATAGAAATTTCTTTTCACAGCGCTGAATTAGGAAATGATTTCGTTCACCGCAGACAAAATCTAATTGAACCAATTTGTTCTCTCCACACTGTAAACAAACCTTTAACTCCGTGCGCAAAATGATGATGGGTTGTATACCTATTTTGTAAGGGGAAAGAAAATGCCATTATACCCAAACACTCCATAAAATGATGATTTTCACGGTTTGCATTAATACCCATACCTTACTAGATTGGGAAATACATAAATTAGACGGCACTTTCAAATTATTTGAAAAGCAATGCCTACATGCAATACATCTAGAATATTTAGCAAACCACGAGCGAATGACGAGTTTGAAAATTTAGTGATTTCAGCAATGCTACGTGTGCAGAAACATGGTGGGTCATAGTGGACATTTTTGCGCAGTAAAAAAAGTTTTCCCATACAGAGGCTTTTAAAACATCGTTCTTCTATGCGTTTTTACTAAACCAATTAGTATACGATGTCCAATTATTCAACATATGGAAAAGCAAATTGTTCACACCTCTGTAGTGGCCGTTCACAAATTACGTGGCGCATTTTTGGCCATTTTTGACACCCCCTTCTGTACACATACTATCAAGTTTGTGAAGGCAACGATTGTTTTGGCTGTTTTCCATGTTGTCTGGTTTATGTTGTCCCTTCTACAGCGTTCCCTATCAACTATTCTCTCTTTCTATCAACCTGTCATCTTTCCTTTTTTCTCTTACCCCACGACCATCTTCTCACCCCTTCCCCCAGTCATTGGCGTCAATCTGACGTTAATTGAGGGGGACCATATTCATTCTGCTGTGCCTGGTTAATTTCTTTTGAAAACAACTCACTTTCAAAAGAAATCATCCTGGCGTAACAGAATATATGAATATGGTTCCTCCCTAATTAACGTTAGATTGACGCTGATGCCCAGTCCCTATGTTCAGTCTTCCTTTTCCCGCGTTTTTTATTTCCCCCTGTCAACTGACCTCTATACAATAACTGAATGCAACACTATATATTTTACAATTAAAGCGCCTGGGTACAAGGCTGCTCAAACACCTCAGAGGAGCACGTATTTTGTGAAACACCCCTTTATATCAATATTTCAACAATCTAATCGTGTTCTTGTGTGTACAGATATTTTTTAAGGATGATTTAGTTCATACTTC